TTGAAATCGATTGCTTTCTTTCTTTCTTTGGAAGATTTCCACATTTTTTTTGTATAAAGATAGAAAGCCAAAACATTTCTTTCTCAAAAATGAATCTGTCCTAAAAATATACCCAATTAAAAAAAAATTAAAATGTTCTAATGTAAGACCTTTTTACTGCTTTTATTATATCACATGTAATCTTACAGGATGAATACATTATTATATGTTTTCCCCATTTTGGCTAACCAAAGTTGGCTGCCAAATTGATAGTTTAGAATTTATCAATGAATCTGATGAAAACTTCATTGAACAAAAAGGAATTCTTATCAAATTGAAAAATGCCAAATTTTTCAATTGAAATTTCGAAGGTACGGGTTTGGTTTCAGCCATGATTAACAACTTCACAATTTAGGACTCCACATGAACAATGCTACGATATCTCTTCTAGACTTTCTCTTTCAGTTCAAAAATCAGTACTATGCCATCTAACACTGTCAATACAGCCGACGCATTTCATTACTATTTCAAAAGCTTTCCGCGGTGTCATCGAAAAACAAGAAATCATGATGGACTATATTCCCCTCTATGTCTCATATTACTTGGTGAACCCCTTTCACAAAAGCTACTCCATGAGAATTATGCGAAAAGAATTGTGATGCAAAACTACCGGTGATATGTGCGTTAACATGTCAACAACTTTAAAGGTACGTAAAAGATTTTCTTTTCAAGGACAATTCATTGCCTTTTTGATGGCGAGGGCAGTGTTTCTTCATCACCTTTCCTTCCATACCTGCTTGAATCTCTCGCATTTTGGATATGACCGACATTTCATAATATTCAACGTATACCAAAAAAAAGGTACCCCTTGAAAGTTGCTTCCGTCAATCACTGTCTGACATAACTTTTTTCCTTTTCTTCGCTTGTTTTGGCTTTACAATTTCTTCTTCCTGAAAACAAAAATGATTTGCTGTAAGAAACAAACAATACATATCATCAGCTTCGAAGGCTTTTGGACTATTTGTTTGCTAGAAAAAAATATGTATATTTTATAGATACCCTAAACCTGAAAAATGTGGTTATTATATCAGTATATCATATCTATCTGAATTCACAAGATTAATAAACCACTGCCGTTTCTCGAAAAATTATTATGGTCCTATTTTATTTAATAAACTACCAGAAGATATAAAAAACTTAAATACAGCCTTGTTTACAAATTATNATACGTAATAGACGAACCTTTTGAAAGCATACTTCCGTGAATTTAATAATTCCTTGGTCACTGATTGGTATGTCAAACCTACCAATTCAGAAAGATATATCAATTACCATTCTTTTCATGAAAAATCAGTCAAAATCAGTTGGATACTCTGAAAAAAAAAAAAGAATAGAAAAATTAGTACATCCTTCCCTCAAGCAAAAACATCTCTGACTTCTTAGATACATTCTTATTCCAGAAAACTTATCAATAAAATAATTTTCAATACTGGCAATCTTTCTCAGATGAACGTTTCATACATGCAGTCGAAACGCATTGAAGTCAATCGAGTCCCAGGCAGACTGCTATTTGGGTTGGACTGCAGTGATGAGAGGTAATACCCCGAAACCGTCCTGTAGGTGATCTACTCGATTGATTTCATCGTGGTCTTGCTGGTGTATGACAAACATCTGCAAGACTCAACCTTGATGAGGTATTTTGTCGTATATAATTCAATGCCCATCGTGGTAATAGCTGACAATATAGTTGTTTTCTGGCAGGCATTTACCAGAACCTACTGTGTAGGTATATTGGGAGAAATGAATGTTTTGAGGTTCCACTATGAAATATTGCTTTTCTCATATGTAGAAAAAGTATAGACATTTCTATTCAATTTTTACCTAATTCCACATATCATAAACTTGTAAATGTATTTTGGTGAACAAAGATTTTTATTATTGGATGTCTTCAAAGAAGGAAACCTATTTTTATTACACTAATTGAAGAAATATACAATACATAAATGAAATCAATCAGATTTATATCTGATAGAAATGAAACCAATCATAATGAACATTTCATCAAAATGTTCAGTAACATAAAAAACAACAAAAAGAAACCTAATTTCATAGTGACACATGAATGAGCCATGAAAAAAAAATATCACCTTGTCATCTAGATACTTGAACAAAACATTGAAAAATATAAAGGAAAAATCAAGTTTAGAAATACTATTGGAAATACATGCATATGGATAGATTCGCTACTCTATTATGATATCATCATAAATAATGAAATGATATTTATTATTTTTATTATTTATTATCACTCATAAGCATTAAAAGTGAGTTGTAAAAAGTGTCAGATATCTAACAAGTTAACCATACAATTGAAACACATTACAATATGTCACATGTCTTTCTAAATGATATAAGCTTTTCAGTTTCGTTTCTTTGACGGGACTTCTTTAATGAGATTTTATGGAGTGATTTATAGATAATATGTTATGATTATAGCAGATTATGATACAATTCTCGATATTCCTGGTAATGTGAATGTTTTATTTCATACATTAATTTCTCAAATGCTTTAGTATTGTATTCCAACTTGTTCATAAATCAATATTTCATATTTTCACACAAGTTTTTGTAAAAAACAGTATGTTTCTATATTAGATTACCTATCTCAAAAGTTTTGTCCGTTTGTATGACTCTACTTCAAACTGAAATGTCTCAGTGAATACTAATTCAATTTAATCAAAATAAGCACCATTTGAATCAGTTCACTTTTGCAAACGTAACACCGGTCGATTAATACCGTCAGTATAAAAATTGTGTATTCGGGATGCAATGAAGTCGACGAAGGCCGTTTTTACCTGGTCCTGATTTCTCAGCGGTAGGACCTACTGGTGAGAAAGTTATCGAAGTCTTGAAAAGATGGTAGTCGGTGATTTGTGAAACGTGCAGACAGGCGTTGTCCTGGACCAGGTTCGATCTTCTTCTGTTGATCAGTGCCGACTGCTGATTATAAGTTCTCGGTACATTTCGTCGATTTCCTCACAATGGGACTCTCTGTGACGGTTTGGTCCGGTTGCAGATCATTCATAACATTTGTAAAGATGGCATTGTGTATATTGTCACTCTTGACTTTAAAAGTTGTTCATTGATCAAAATGAATTTGAGATTTCTGAATCGTTATGAATTCTGATTTAGTATTGATTCTAGTACCTGATATTCATGTTCATACATTGTTTTAGGCGATTATGAAATCGTATTGAGTTTGTTTTAGCAATATTTAAATTCAAATTATTTGCGCTAAAGCAGTCACTAACACTTGTGTTGTATTACACTCATCATACAAGAACTCATCCGATTTGTCTGAAATAAGAAATGAAATATCATTTGCAAGTGGATTGAACTGGTTCATCCAAATCATTCTAATATAATGTAAAGAGAATGGGGCCTCAAATTGAACCTTGAGGGCTTTCTATGGTGATCTGTTGCTTTAAAGTGATTACATCCTCGATAGCAACAGACTGGTTTCTTGAACTGAAGAAACTACAAAGCCGCTGGTGAGGAATGTCCCTTATTTTATACCTCTCCAACTTATCTATCAAAATAACTTGATTGATACACTCGATTACCTTGGTAAGATCACAAAAGATCCCTACAAGACACTGGCCCTCATCAATCAAATCAACAATGTTTTCATAATCAGACTGTACTGATATCATCGATTGGGAATTATAAAATCTATAATGTCCCAAGGGAGTTATGACCCTCTTTATTGATAGCGTAACTATGACGATATAAGCTTATAATATCCCGGCCAGAAATAAACTACATTTATAGGACGTGAATATTTTCAACTTTTATATGCATGAACGATTTAACAAAAAAATTTATGTTTTTAGAACTGATACCTACTTACAAAAAGTTTCACAGATACTATCTATTATATATCCGTTGATTCAAAAAATAAATTTTAAAATGACATTTGTATACATGCATCCATTTGTGTGTATACAATATTCATCTAAATTTGAAGATGTAGCTTCTGAAAGAGCATAAAAAGTATAAACTGCAAAATCATTTAAACCTTTTTTCTCTAGACACTTTTTATGAAAAATTAGGGGCACAACCAGGATTTTGCTGAAGGAAGACATTAATGGAGAATTTCAACTGAAACCGAAATTTCAGGAATGAGGAAATACATTATGTTGTGTAGGCTTACCTATAGTGTGCAAATGTATTTGCTTCAGTTTTTCATGGCCGCTATTTGAAGTGAGGCGAATATTCAGGAAGACAAAAAGTCGATGGATTTTCATAAAGCCAATAAATTAAAAAAAACAAAAATGTATGCAAAAAATAGATGACTTCGCACTAGGAAAAATAAACAAAATATTTTAAATGTATTTGTAGCGGTATCCCATCATAATTTCTAAGGTACAAATATCTCAGCAGGCTCAGGACAAAAAATTATCGTGCCAAAAACATCTCGTCCAACAAAATTTCATACAAAAACTTGTCTAATTTGGCATTTTTTGTATTTGACATATTTTCGGATTGACATTTTTTTATGCGAAATTTTCTGGTTTCGAGATATATTTTTCTTGCGATGTTTTCTACTGAGACGTTTTTGCTAAGATATTATTTCTGAGACGAAAACCAACTTCAAATAGGTATCCTGCTGCAAACTGAATTGGGAAATATTGAATAAATACTCCAGAAAATATTATGAAATGAAATTTTTTTCAGCTGTAGTGTTAGTTCATAACGTGTATTGTTTTTTTTTCGGGTAGTTATAGCAATGAGAGATCTCTTCCAAGTGGTGTTTGCTTTGAAGAAGAAAGAAATAGAATTGGCAAAGCAACACTAAATTGATTGATGTAGCCATTACTATGTGGTAGGATATCATCATGAAAAATGAGAAATGAAACTTTCTGTTTTTTCATCTACATTTATTATAGTCATTCTTTGCTTTTGTAAAGAATTCATTATGCATTAAATTAGAGAGATAAATTTTAACTTATTGTTTTGAAGGTAATTATGCAATAATCTTGTTGGAATTTTTAACCATTCAGGGCAAGAAAATCTTAGTTATGAATTCTGGAGCAATAAAATTGAGACTAATAACACTTACACTGACCTGCCTTAAATCTCAAGTATGGTACTAATGTTGTATGAATAGGGGTTTACATGATTGCAACACCTTGTAAATTGAAGACAAAGTATTATATGGTATTCGAAAATACCATTGAATGATCAAAAAGTCATTCCCAAAGGATATTTAATCAATTTCCACAAAAGAATTACAAACAATCAAATTGATTGTAGAGGTATCAAACTTTTGTGAGATACTCTAGTCAAATAATTCAGTCTTGCTAAAAATATGTTGATATTGAACAATGGTAAGAAGTAACTGAAATCTAAGTACAAAAACTGTATCCGAAACAAAGTTGTTATCAACAAATATTTGAATTAGTAATTGTAACCTCCTGAAGATGCTGATTTATTTCTAATGAATAAATGCAGGAAGGACATTGAAATGATACAATGAATAGTACTTCTATCGTCATTGAGTACCAATTCAAAATATCAGGACACATTAAGATTCCTTTTCTCTAAATTTATATATCAGTGATGATAATCAAAATATTAATAAGGAAGATAGTTATCTTTATGGATGTATATAGGAGTACAGTAACAGTAGTTAGAAATTGTAAATAAGCCACAAATTTCATAATAAATTACCAGATGGAATAAAAACAATGTCTTCAGTGAAACATTTCAAAAGAGTTATGAAAAAATTATAATTGAATCAAAATACCTAAACCATAATGGTATTCTAAGTTAAAAATTCTGCCTTGAAAACAGTTTTTATACTATTTTGAGGCAGCTGGGTTACTTATAACACAGCTTTATTATTATTTTCTTAATTTTCTTATGTTTTCGGAACAATAGGAAACTGTTTTGTTGATGTTATTTAAATGTTAATGCATTTGTTTTTGTGTGTGATTATAAACAATGTTTATGTCATATGCTATATCTTTAAACTTTGTACCTGGCTATTGCTTAATTTTCATCAAATGGTGGAATAAAAAGAGGAGAAACGTTCAATTCATTGATTACAAAAAATCTCAATGAATGGTACATTTTTAGTTTGACATTCAGGTTTCATCATGAAATTGTTGCAAGTTCTCAGTTTGAAGACTGCTTTGATTATCCTTCAGTTAGAGATAGTCTTTTTTTATTAATTTTGATATTGTAAAATACTGATGATACTTATGAACTTTTGAGAGAATTCTCAAGGACTCATTCTTTCTATAATCTTATTGGTCATACATTCAAAGATTGAATTGCTGTATTTAAGGAGTCCAGTTATAATAAATATAATCTCCATTAAGACATAGTTGACTCAAAAAGTTTGTTTGTTATAATATTGTATAAACAATAAAGATGACTGATAGTTGGACCGGAAAGTATTTTTTGAACACAAAAAAGAAATATAAATCACTGGAAAACAAGATAATAACTAAAGAAATAGGCTCACCTCACTACTTTCTTCGGAAGAATCTGATATCTCTCGAACCGTCTGCCTTTTGCTAGCAATGATATTCTTATTTGCTGGTTTCCTGCCTCTTCCTTGAGACCTTTTTGTCGCACTAATCTCTTCCTCTTCCTCCATTAACGCAAACAGTTTACTGAACTGTTTTCTCTGACTGTCGTTACTATTGTTATGGGCAATACTGAGAGCTCTCTGCATGGAATCCAAAGTATAAATCGCCATACAGTCATGTTTTTCACAAATAATACGCAGTATTTCTAAATGTCCTAGTACCTGATCGGCACTTGGTACTGTCGCACTCAAAGTTTTATTACTACCAGACCGTTTTCGCTTGTTGGGAGATGTTGAAGGGTACCTCGTACTTAGAAGGGAAGATATCAGTTCGGCAACTTTGTCTATATACTCGTCACACCAATATTTTATAATAGTAAACACAAATAAATCACCGTGATCGCAAATGTCTCTAGAAAATAAATATTTGATATAATCTGCATTTGGTTTTTCTTGCTTGAGCATGAGGGTGATAGCCGTCAAGGCCTCAGAATGTTGGTAATAATCTAGTTCGGTAATCAAAGGCAGGACCGCGTCTATTGAGATATCGTGGGCATTGACCAACTGCCATAAGAAAAACTGCTCGATACTCTCCCACATCAAACTGTTTTTCAACACCGAATTTATGTTTTCCGCTTTGAACATAATGAGATGTCCCTGTAGCACTTTACCCGTTAAAGTCTGTAATTGGCTAGCGTCTATAGCGGATATTATCACTCTCAATACTTGAGCATTATTTAGAGTCTGTTGTTTGAAGTCCCTATACAAATCCGGCACTATCCAAATCATCAGTTCTGTGTCGGCCACGTGACACGCGAATAAGTCATCATAAATACAAATGTCTATTTTCTTTTCTATGCTTTGACAGAAATCCTTGTAGACACTTATTTTGAGTGCACTGGCTACAGAATGGTCTTCTTTCTTGTTTTCTGACCACTTTTTAACTTTGAGATAATACAGGAGTAAGTATCCCATGCTTGGCAGTTCAGGATGCATTTCTGCCGCTACTTTATATAACACATCTTTCCCTAACTCATCCTTATTAAAACCGTAAAGTGTTTTGAACAAAGTGAAGAGCGGAGATTTGATACTTTCCATCAGATTTTCTTCAGTTAACACGTCAGGAAATATATCCCCCTTGATGTCATCTTTAACACAGTTTACCAGAGATTTTGCTATAGCTGGTAAGTTCTCATCGTCTTCTTCCATATCAATCAGTTGCTCCATTAATTTATCGGCTAGTTCAATTCTTTCATCAGAGTTAGTTTCATTCTGAAGTTTCACCAAAGTTTCCCCTATAGGCCCCTCTATCAAACTGTCATCAGACTTGTCGCTTTTCTCCTTAAGTCTCACTTTAGACAAAGGAATATCATCGTCGTCCGTGTCATATTCCAGACTGGTGGTTATTCTCAAACTTGGCTCTTCCTCGTCGTCACTAAAGGCAGGGTCATTATCGAGAATGTGGTTGTTAAGAACTGCTGCCATTCGAGAGTCAACAGAGTCAGAATCTTCAAATTTAACAGAGTTTTGAATATTGAAAGGTTCCTTTGATGACGATTCTGAAGGCATCACATGGCAGAACTCTCTGAAAGTTTCCTGAACCATATTCCTCAACTCCCTGTCCAGCTTAGAGTTATCAAATAAAGGCAGTAGAGATGGTAGTACTCTTTTATCCAAAATTTGTCTAAGAGAGGTGAAAATTCCGGCTCGAACTTTGTCTCCTAGAGGTGGATAGAAATTTGATATTATTCGACAAAGGAAATCTAACAGAGTGGCTGAAACTGCAGGGTGAGAGCGCATCGAATGGTGCATAACCAGTATGGCAGGTTCGATATTCATGATGTTATCCTTCTCACTATCGAAAAAGAGCCAGTCATAAAACAAAGCCAGCTTTGCATTTGATACGGCAACACTTGATGTGCATGTTGTTAACAACCAGCCAATCACTGCCCAACGAGGGATTATATCCGAGCAGAGTAGTTCATTTGTTGGATGAATGACACCAACAATGAAGCGTATAATATCACATCGAAGGCTTTGTGATTCAGGCGTAGCCAAGTATTGACGTTGGAACCAGTCCTGATATCTCTTATGATTTCCGAAACGTACCTGGGAAGTAAGAAAAACCAGCTTCCTTTCCATCTCTGGAGTCAATCTCGATTGTAAAAACCGACGTGAAGTTCGATTTTGTAGCAGTTGCAACACCCCATTGAAAGTAGGACATAAAGTTTTCGGAGATAACAGAATGTCTCTCCAAAGCTGTTCGAATTCTGGTATCCTTGCAACATTCTGTAGCAGTCTTACTAAGTCCCTTCCGATGACCAAGCACTCGTGAAAATGTTCTCGCATTATACTGATTAAAAAACTAACTTCTTTCTGTCGCAAATTCACTAGGTAAGGCGCATTGTGATCTTCTATTAATCTTAAATATGTATAGACTACAGATGCTATTAAGAGTGGAAATTTTTCTAGCCAATTTCTATACTCTATGAAAACATCAAGAAGTGATTCAATAAGCGTAATATTTTTAGAAGATACATCACCACCTGCTGCATGTCGCATCAGGTTCCACACCAAATTATCCACATTGGTCACTGCATTCTTTATCATTTCTCGAAGGAGCCATATCAATTGCTGCTTCACTATATCATTAAAACGTAAATACCTGTCGAGCACTAATTGTGATAAATTTGTTAATATGAGTCCAAACCCATCACGGGTAATTAATGTTAAGTCCCTATAACTTTTTGCTGCATTTGGAGGTTCAGTTAAAATTGTTACCAAAAGTCCAAATGATACTTCCTCATAACCTTTTTCTTTGAGTAGGGCCTTATTGAGAGCCTCGTGGGCATCCTTGTCGCTGAGACCAGCTGTTGTATTTTGAAGAAATTGGTAACTTCGCTCGAGTTTCTGAAACACGAAAAATAAATTCAAATTTACCGCGCTTACGGTACTGTCAGCGTCAAATACAAATAAAAGAAGTCGAGTTGAGGCGAGGAACCACAATGGCGGACATTTACTAGCTAATATGATTTTAAACGATTTACCTCTTCTAAATCATCTTTATTTTCCACTGAAGAAATAAAAAAGAGCCTAGAAGTCCCTGTAGGTATCACTTCCATATCGTAAAATCAGTAATAACGGCCGCTACGATTTTCGCACTGTTGACAAACACAGCAGGTCCTGCATCGTTCCGTCCTCGGAAAATGTTTGTGAAAATCAAGCTCGCCTTGGTGACTTCGTCCGTGGTGTAGTGGAGTTGGTACATCCAAGCAACGTTGCCAGTTCTCATAATTTTCCGGAGAGTACACTGAAATCAATACTTTTTAGGAAAAAAATGCGGTTTTAGATAAAACAGAACGGGTTTTTAATTATTTATCACCATTCACATGATTTGATTATTTTTTACCTTATTTTCCCCTTTCGTGGACTCTGGCTAGTAACGAGCATATGGAGAAATCTATTTTTGAGTCATCGATGAAAATTCATTGTTACTCACGCATGTAAGTGAAAAGTTAAACCATAAAGATAGATTTGCTGACATCTAAGCTGATTTATACCTATTGCTTGATGAATTTTTACAGGGATATTCACGATTCCGCGTTCGATTATAACTACGTGTAAGTTTTGTTGGCTTTTATTTTACTTTGAGCTGGGTATTGCAACTTTAAGCATGCAAGAGTATCGTAATCCGTCAACAGCGTATTATTCACTATCCAAACAAAGTCACAAAACGATTCATTCATATCATATGTGGTATAGGAACTGACTATTATAGGGCGATACAGTTTTTACATGTGGCGATAAGGTTCAAGCATTGTTTGAAATATTGAGATAGAAATACGGGTAAAGACTGAGAGCAAGCAAAAAGGAGGTGATGCTCTTCGTGTGAGAGCGTATCATAGAGTTGCCTCTCTTGCTGATGAGAAAGGATAACCTATCATTTTTCTTAATTTTTATTTCAAGTGGGCATATGGTATGCTACAAAAACAGGACCGTATCTGAAAGTATTAACGTACCTACTAGATACTTGGGAATGATCAGTTGCATTTTTTAAAATATTTCAGATGATTTCTTATCAGTTATCTGTTACATTATTTTTGGCAACTTATAACTTTGAGTAGGTATAGTTCATCTTGTACAAAGAACTTTTATTGCCACATCTAAAAATCATTATTGTCTTAAATGAGAGCGAATCGAAGGAATTGTTATTTTGGTGCAAGGTAGAAGAGAGAATTGAATTATTAAACTTCATAAACAATATTTCTCTCCTGGATGAAGTAAAAATCTTGAAGTGAATATGGATGTTGATTTGAGATGTCAAAAACACGTCTTTAAATCACTCCAACGTATGTAGTTAAATATATGAATATTATATATGATAATATGCATATTATGCCTCGGAAAGTCAAAGTAACATTGTGTGGGCAATTGATTTTATCTATGTTCAATTATGCAGACAGTTCATTCATATGGCCTAAATATAACAATCGAGTATCAGAAAAAAATTCAAAATTCTTGTCTGAGAGTTATAGTTCAAATAAGACAACGCTGTACCAGGGCCGAATTAAGGGGAGAGCAGGTGGATCTACTGTCGAGGGTCCTCCACAGGAGAGGGGCCTCCACAATAAAGATAAAAAAGTATCCAAATTTGCATTTTCACTTAGGATACTTGCACAAACATAATAATTATGTTATCGATATATCGGTAAGCCCTGATTGCAAGTTTCCATTAACTATCAATTTTTGTTTTTTTTTATGATGATAATCGAGCATTTCAGTAGCAACACTTTTTTAATGTGTAATTTGTACCCATGAGTTAAAATGAAATGAAATAAGTGAAAAAAAAAATCCGAAAAACGGTTGACCCTGCAGAGGTCATACCTACTTGTACTTCTTCGAGCACAAAATTTCAAAAATGATTCGACGAAATCACTTGAATGGAAATTTTTAAACGACACTATCTATAAAACGCGTCGGTTTTCGCCCACTTCCCCTTTTTTAAAAATTTTAATTTTTTTGGGGGAAGTTGAAAATTCAACTTTTATAAAAAAAAATTAAAAGGCCCCAACTCCTTTGTTGCCCCAGGGCCTACATACTATCAAATCCGGCCCTGCGTCAATCTATTTTACATAATTTTCTGATTGACTAGGCCGTCACTTGATGAAGATCCATAGTAATTTCCAAAAATATCAAGACAGTCACTACGAAAAAGCTACTGTGATAGCGGAACATGTGATATTTTTGAAAAATACAAATTAGTTGAATGGAAGCAAGAGAACTGCATCATATATCTTTACCATATAAAATGTACAGCGATCATTCAGCATCAGTTATGTTATCTTTATAATGCTGTATCACCGAAGTTTGAAATATTACCTAGAAGCAAATTCAGAGCTCAGCTCAAAAAATATCTTTTCAATCTCCCAAAAGTCGTACTGTGAAATAGTTATATTTATAACCACGAAATATATTCTTGTGAAAAAAATTGAAACTAGAGTCTGGGACAAGAAAGAGCAATGGAAGAGCAATCGTTGTTAGGATCTCAGACAATTTTTGAATTTTGCCTTTGATATCATTATGCTTATTATGTTAATCAGTGTTAATTATATGCTTGTGATGCACTCTGTTTGGAACTTTTGGTGTAGTAATGAATATTGCTGGAGTTTTTCCCAATATCAAACCATTATTTTAACACCTCGACACGTGTTTCGATCACCAAGTGATCATCTTCAAAAGGAAGATCTTCCTTTGGTAATCGAAACACGTGTCGAGGTGTTAAAATAACGGTTTGGCGTTGGGAAAAAACTGCAGTAATATTCAGTGTAATTATGTTAACCTACAGAAATTGATATTACGTTTACAATCACTATTATTATTAAAGAAGCTCCACAGTGTTGTATCAGCGAAGTACAACCTGTAGAGACCTGTATGTCGAGAGTTATTATAGAAAAAGAATTTATTACTCGCGTCTTACTTGTCTGTGCCATTTAACAACTTTTGTTTTCGCCTTCCAGAACAGTTAGCACTGATATTCATACTTTCAAACGAGAGGTGAAAATACGAGAAAAAATAAATAGATCAACTTAAGCACGCGTCGCCCGATTTAGATGCATCAACGAAAAATTAACCCATATATGAATATTACGAAATATTAAAATAGGTATTTCCTGGGTTGAAGTTTATTTGAAAATCTTGATAATTTTTAAAACGGAAGTCTGAATGTTTTTCTTTTAACATATTTTTCCTTTGAAAAATATGGTACCAATTGCACACATTTTTTTATTAAGTTCTATTTGTTTAGCCAATAAACAATGTGTTATAAACAAATATATTTCAACGCTTCTCCAATAGTAATAATCGTGAAAAATAAAAATGAACATGAATCATTTTGTAGGATTTTTTTTTTATTTCTATTCATTTTTATTAATAATCTGTATTAGTCACATTTTAACATTTTATTTTATATAATAACAACCCGGAAAAGCCTGCAGCACCACATCATCTGAAGATCTTGATCTGCCAATGTCCTCTCTCTCATAAAACAAAATGTAGGGCTAGATTGGTGTTCATCTATTTCGAACCTTCCTAAGAGTTTGGTGCTTTCATCAGAGGTTGAGTCATGTTTGAAGATCATCAGTGTTATTAATAGATTGACTGGTGCCTCACCTATAGTTGTTTTCTTATAACAGTCAGTTTTATTTTGGTGCATGTTTGGCAATACAGTCGATCATCACCCGTTAAAAAGTTCCATTTTAAGATGATTTAACAATAAGCTTTGCACGGACTGGTTATTAGTCATATTAGGAAA